TTGAGAAGAAATTTTGTTTTCTGAATTGACAACAAGTTAAAAAGGCATGTCCTTATTTTCACTTATATTTGTATGCCCCTATGTTTGGGGGCATTACTCAATTTTCCCTTTTTGTGGAAAGATGTTTCGTAAAACAGAATTGCCCTGGTGATTATTTCTACGGTGACAGATTTTAACCTCAGTGTATCCATCTTTGGGGCTGGGTTGTAGTGGTGGGAATCTTCCATTCCTCTGGAGGACTTTTTTTTTTTAATGGATGTTAAATATGTTAAAATTTTTGCTTCTACCTCATTGTTTTTTAACAATTATTACTTAAAATGTTTATTTAATAAATTGTTTTGTACTGATGGATCTTACCGTGTCAGTTATTAATATTAAATAATTAAGTTCAGGGTTGTCCAGCATTTTTTTCTAGTAGTGATAAGTGAAATATGGATCATGCTCTAGAGCTGAAACCAAGGAGTGTTGATAGGAGGACACATAGGATGGGCTTGATCATGGAGAGATTATAGATCAGACAGGAAAAACTGGAAAGGCTGCTGTGATAGGACTTAAATATTGGTTAGATATCAAGAGGTTATAAATCAGGAAGGAATCTAAGATAGAAATTTCAGTTCCTGGGAATGAAATGAATAAGAAAGTTCTTTTGGTTTAGTCAGTGGTTGCTTCATTCCAGGTTTGTATGGCCTGACGAGTAAAGCTCCATAGAAGAGCCTGGGGAGGAGTTCCATCTTGCCTGTCATTTTTGGATCTGTCTTGGTCACAAGATTCTAGCCATTTAATTATTTTAAAAAGTTAGGATATATCTTCTGTGTATTATATAAGGTGCTGTGAATTGGAGGCTTGGGGTGAGTTGCAGGTTAAACCCAGATCAGGCCTTCAAGGAGCTAATAGTGAAGCACAAATAGGAGATCCATGTTAAGGACTAAGAACAGCGGAGGCTTCCAATTACTAACATTATCGGAAACTCACTTTGTGCAGTTCCAGATCAAACTACCATTAGCGGAGACAAGGCTTTCCTTGCAGAAGTGCAAAGCCAGGATGTAGCCATTCCAGTGGCCCCATTCCTGAATCAGTTCAGAGTTCCTGCCTCCTGACCTCTCCCTCTTGCTGCTGCCTCTGATTCCTTTCATTTCTCCTCATACCTCGTTCTCCAAAGGCAGGTTTTCCCCAGAGCCCTAAGTCCGCTTTGGTCCTCTTCTTTCCTTGGACAGTCACTGGCTTCAACTATCACCTACAAAGCTATTTATGAAACCTGTACTCCACCTTGTCTGTCTTCCACGTTCTACTTACATAACTGCCTTCTAGCTCATGCTTTCAGAATATTCTGTGAGCACTTCAGACTCAGCACAAAGAAATTCATCTAAAGTGTTTCTCCTCTGATTCCTTTTCTGTAAATGACACCATCTCCTCTGAGCTTAAAAGTCTTGGCATGTCTTTCTTTAAAACATATTTTTTCCTTCTGTTTACAGAGCAGTACAAGATTTTAGTGAGAATTTCAAACACTATACATTTTAGAAAATGAAATTTCTAGGCCAGGCGTGGTGGCTCATGCCTGTAATCCTAGCACTCTGGGAGGCCAAGGTGGGAGAATTGCTTGAGCTCAGGGGTTCAAGACCATCCTGAGCAAGAGTGAGACCCCGTCTCTACTAAAAAGAGAAAAATTAGCCGGGCATGGTGGCTCATGCCTATAGTCCCAGCTACTCAGGAGGCTGAGGCAAGAGGACTGCTTGAGTCCAGGAGTTTGAGGTTACACTGAGCTACAATGTTGCCACTACACTCTACACTCTACCCAGAGAGCAAGACTCTATCCAAAAAAAAAAAAAAAGATTTCTTTGTAATCTTATCTTTTAGTAATTACTGGTTGTTCAGTATATTATGATCTAGACTGTTTAAAAAACAAAAATTACCACAACCCCATCTCTAAAAGAACAAAATTATAAAACGTTTCAAACAGACAAAAGTAGAATAGTACACTGAACTCCCATATCCCCATCACTCTTATTCAATACTTATGAGAGTTTCCTGCAATTGTTTTCAACATCTTTTCTTTTTTTCTTTGCTGAGATATTTTAAAGCAAATTCCAGACATCATTTAATTTTACCCCCTGTACTTCAGCTTTTAGAAAATAGTATTTTTGTTACATAATTATGTTTGTAAGTTTAAAAGTCTAAATTTTTAGCTTTAGCAGAATAAGGGCTCAGAATAGGTTAATACTGTCTACTTCAACCCTATTGAGTGTAGCTTAAACACATACACTAAATTCCAATTCTGTTCAACACAAGGGGGCTAGAGTATTCAGCAAATGTGTATTTTGGAGTTTAAGAATATCTGCCTCAAAGGGGGAAATGTTTTTTTACATAAGGATGGTCTGTTGCTGAATTAAACTTCTTTCATAATTGTTACCAATAAAGTCTTTGAGGGAAAAGCAACCTAGAAAGTAAAGCTTTTTTCCATTGTTCTCATAGTTCTATGAAATAATTAAATATGTACTTAATTTTCTTAACTTTTCCAGATGCGCTTAGAATTCAAATCCCTCCTTTTTTACTCATCATTTTGATGAGGAGAAAAATGGGCAAGTCAGTCGTATTTCAACATTTAATAGCAAGATAACAGATTCCAAAGGCTTTTGGATAGAAAAAAAAAGATAACAGTGAGAACAGGTTAGACTTGTGAGTTTTTGACTCCTTGAAACACTGTAAAACCCTCAGATACATTGTGAAATTATGAAAATGGAGGCTACTTTTTTTTTTTTTTTGATACAAGGTCTTGCTCTGTCACCCAGGCTGGAGGGTGGCTCCTTTTACACTGGTTCAAATTCTGGTTCTGTGACTTTGGGTAGGTTACTTAAACTTTTCTGGAACTCCTGGCCTTAAGCGATGCTCCCGCCTTAGCCTCCCAAAGTGTTAGGATTACAGGTGTGAGCCACTGTACCTGGCCTTTTCTAAGGGTTTGTTTTTTGTTTTTTTATATTTTTGTTTTTTAGAGATGGGGTCTCACTCTGTTGCCCAGGTTGGAATGCAGTGGCACCATCATAGCTCACTGCAGCCTTGAGCTGGCCTCAAGCCATCCTCCTAACTGAGCCTCCAAAAGTGCTAGGATTAATAGGTATGAACTATGACACTCAGCCTTTCTGAGGTTAGTTTCTTCATCTGTAAAATAGGGATAATGCTTTCTTCATGAGGTGTTTTTGAAAATCAAAGGGACTTACGTCTAGTAACTGACCTGCTCATGTTAATATATGTTCATCAGGCCAGATGCAGTGGCTCATGCCTGTAATCCTAGCACTCTGGGAGGCCAAGGCAGGAGGATCGCTTGAGTTCAGGAGTTCAAGACCAGCCTGAGCCAAGAGTAAGACCCTGTCTCTACTCATAGTAGAAAAATTATCCGGGTGTCATGGTGCGTGCCTGTAGTACCAGCTACTGGAGAGGCTGAGGCAGGATGATGGCTTGAGCCCAGGAGTTTGAGGTTGCTGTGAGCTAGGCTGACACCACGGCACTCTAGCCCAGGCAACAGAGGGAGACTCTGTTTAAAAAAAAAAAAAAAATGTTCATCGATACAAGATGGAGAACGGAAGATCAATGGTGAAAGGATAATGGGACAGTTGACTATACATATGGCAAAAGTTAAATTTGACCCCATCTCACAACACTCACAAAAATCAAGTCTGAGTGTAAGAACAGACCTAAATACAAAAGGCAAAACTATGTAACTCCTAAAGAGAGTATCTTCATGAACTTAGGTAAAGTATAAACCATAAATCCAACTACAAGTAAATTGAGAACTTGTATTTGTCAAAGGTCACCATAAAGAGACAAGCCAGAAGATACTGGCAACACATAACTGACATCAAACTAGTATGTAGAATATTGAGTAACTCATACAAACCCCCCAAAAAGGTCAGTAGAAAAATAGGCTAAACGGGCATCATGGCATGCACCTGTAGTCCCAGCTACTTGGGAAGCTGAGGCAGAAGGATCACTTGAGCCCAGGAGTTTGAGGTTGTAGTGGGCTATGATGATGCCACTGCACTCTAGCTAGGGCCACAGAACAAGACTCTGTCTCAAAAAAAAGAAAAGAAAAAAATAGGCTAAAGACTACTTGAACAGATTCTTTGCAGAACAGGAACTCCAAATAGTAAACATAGGAGAAGGTACTCAATGTTATCAGTAATAAGGGAAATACAAAATAAGCCCACCATACAAACACATACCCACGAGACTGGCAAAAAATGAAAAAATTCTCACAATTCCAGGCATTAGAATCGACATAGAACAATGGAAAAACTATGCTGGTAGGAGTGTAAATTTTGAGAAGTTTTGAAAACAGTTTGGCATTATCTAGTAAATTTAAAGAAAGGCAAACCTGATTTCCAAGTAGTAATTCTATTCTTAATTATATGACCATAGACTCTTGCATATGTACTGCAGGATGTATGTACAACCTGGAAACACTCCAAACTGGAAACTCGTCATGGACTTGGATAAAACTCAGACATACAACAATGATCAAAAGAAATAAAGCTTGTCCAGCGTTATTCCATTTGTGAGTTTATAACAGGCAAAGAGAACCTACATTGTTTAGGGGCACGTAACTGAGATGGTGATAATCAGAAAAACAAGGAAACGGTTCTCATAAAAGTCAGAATAGTATTTACCTCTGGGAGAGATTGTGACTGGAGCCTACGGGTATTTGCGGGGGAGTTTTAAGAGACAGTCTTGCTCAGTCGCCCAGGCTGGAGTGCAGTGGCCAGATCACAGCTCACCGTAACCTCGAACTCCTGGGCTCAAGCGATCATCCCGTCTAGGCCTCCCAAAGTACTGGGATTACAGGCGTGAACCACCGTGCCCACCCTGTTTTATACGTTTTTATCCATGTATGTTTTTTGGTATTCTTTTATTTCAAAATATTACGGGGGACAAGTGTTTTTCGTTACATGGATCGCTTCCGTTATGCTTCAGTTAGGGTTGTAAGTGTGCCCGGTAGGTTTTCGCCCATCCCCTCCTCCTCCACCCCCTTATCGCAACTTGAGTTTTACTTACCTCTGTGCACATGTGTGATAATGTCAGAATAAAGAAAATTTAAAACCAAAAGAAGTAAACAGAACTTTATACTGGTCAAAGCGATGAAGAGAAACACACTGCCCTGTTTTCACAAAATATCTGGGTCTACTTTTAGCTCAGCTAGTCTCAATAGCTGCAGATGTAACTAGGTGATAGCTTACTTTTCCCAAACTGATGTAACTTAAACCTAGTGCTATCTGTGAGGGTTTTTTCCCCCTTCTCGAAATGAGAAAACGCTTTCTCTTTTTCTTGATTAATGAGACTATTGCTCGTTGCTTTTTATAAACCAATGTATTCACTGGTTTAAGCGTCGTGATTTGGGGCTGTGTAAATAGTTTTAGCTTATATCATAAGCGGAATAAAAAAAATTAAAAAGTAAAGTTTTAGTGGATTTGTGCCTTTCTAACAATTTTTTTTTTAGTTTTTTAAAAGCCAGTCAAATTTAGCAGTGGGGGTTGTATACCAACTTTAGTGACACGTTAATAAGTTCTGATAACCCACTACCATCGGACCAGCCGTGCCTGTTTTTTTTCTTTCATATTTACTAAATTCTTCTGGTTCCCTACGAGACTGTGCAGATAAAAGGGAAGCGGTCACGCACGTTCCATTAAACCCGGCCGGCCTCGGGATGGAAACGTTTGCACGTGGCTCGCGGCCCCTTGGAAATCCGGCCTTCGCGCTCTGGCGAAGCCCCTAGGCCGAGAGACCCGGGACCCGAGCAAGCGTCCAGCCTCCGGCTCCTCACACCGAGGTCTCCTTCACGCTCCTTTTCCTTCTCCTCCCGGTCCCCGCGGAGGTGAAGAGGCTCAGCGAGGGCGTGTTTTCGCCCCTGCCTGCGGCAAAGCTCCGCGGGCTCCCGCTTTACCCCGGGCGCGGATCCCCGCTGGGGCCGCCCGGGAGTCCTCCCGCCGCCGGGGGCGCTGTGGGTCGCAGCGGGCCTGGCTGCAGATGCGGTGGCGGCCGCGGAGCTCTTGGAGGGAGCTGCTGGCCGGGCCAAGAGAGCCCCCGCCCGAGACCGAGCCGCCGCCGCCGCCGCCGCCATGGGTAAGGGGAGCGGGCAGAGAGCGGACGCCTGGCCTTCCGCCCTAGGCCGAAGGCCGCGGCCAGGGGAGGGGGACTGCGGTTGGGGGTGGGGCACTGAGACCGCCAGTCGGAACGGGCCGAACCTGGGATGGGCGGGGACAGCCTGGGACTCGGGGGCTCCTGGGGTCGTCATGGCAACGCGCCCCCCTCGTTCCCTCCCGCCCCCGCCTCAGTTCTGGGGCCTAGTAGCCCAGGCCCGAAGGTCTGACGGCTTCCAGGGAGCAGGGACAGGGCCTGCCAGGGTGTCGCTCCGGGGTCGGGGAACAGTCGGGGACGGCCGATGACTTTTCAAGTTTGGGGGTGGCGGAGGGAAGACGTGTCTCAGGTTTTGGCCTGGGTGCCCGACGCCGGGGGTGGAAGAGGGGGAGTGATGACGCGCAAGACCTTGGGTGAGCGCTCTGCGGGGATCCTGGGCGGGCCCCGAGGCCTGTAGGCAGCCTTGCTGCAGGGCGGGGGAGCAAGAAAGGCAGGGAAGGGGCTCTAGGCCCCGCAAGACGTAAGGACTGGCCCTTTTCCCGGACTCCCCGCGCACCTGCGGCCGGGTTTGGGGGTCGCGTCCCGGCGGGACAGGTCCGAGAGCCTAGTCGGGGCGTGGCCGGGGTGTAAACGCCCCTCGGCGTGGGAACCGCCGATGCCCAGCGCAGACCTGTCAGCCAGCAGCTGCAGAGCCGCCCTTTGTGTGGCTGTCGCATCGCACATTATGGATTGTGGTGCGCAGTGTTAAGAAAAATGAGAATTGCCACGGATTATAAGACATTAAGTGGTTTTGCTCCGCCCCCCAAGTGGGAATCGGACCACGGTGCAGATCTGAAGAAATGTCGTATGTGGGCATTTTCCACCAGCCAGCTTGGTCATAGCAGTTGTGACTGTTTGCATTTTAAGTTGTTTAAGATTCAGTGTCAGGCTTCACGCCTAGCTATCCTCGATCGGAACTAGAATACTGAGTCCTTGGGGACTCTGGGATTTTGTTCAGTGAAGGAAAAATGGACACTTGATTACTTGGACTTGTAAATTTGTCAGAGATTATGAAATGTTAATACTACATGCTTCATATTTCCACACCTTAATTTTATC